ACTCCATCTTGCTCCCGCCGGCCCCCAGGCTGCTCACGTTCACCACCCTCACCCCGCCCATCGCCTCCCCCCCCGCGCCCACGCTCTCCACAAGCGCCCGCGCCGAGTCCGCCCGCACGGACGTCCGTGCCACGCTGTTGGGCACGCCCACGCTCAGAATCACCACGTCGGCCCCCGTCTCCCGCAGCGCACGCGTCACGTCCGCGGACACCGTCGCGTCGCCGCGCTGCACAGAGTCGCACAGCGCCGTGTCGCTGCCGGACAGTTTGGACGGCGTGCGCAGGAATGCGTGGATTGACGGCCGCGGCGTGTGCGCTCCCGCGGCCCGGATGAGCGACACGCCCAGACGGCCTGACGCGCCAACGATCAGCAAAGACGGCATAGTGGAAGTGATGCTGCGCGGGGGGAGGGGGAGCAGATGAGAGCGGCGCGCGTTTTATGGAGGCGGTGCGCGTTATGGGAGGGCGGGTGTGTCTGTTTGAGGGTTACACTAAACGTACGGGGTGGCCAGAGTCAATAATCTGCCTCAGTGCGTAGGGCAAAGGGCCGTGTTCCTTGCGCTGGTGTGGCGGTAGAATACCCCCACAAGCTTGACGGAGCTTGCGGGTAGATGGAAGGGTGTGTGCTGGGGTACTGCCCTCTGCCAGGTAGGTGCTTGCGGCCAGCACGTATGCCCGGGAGAGCGTGAGATTTTGGTTTGAACCGGTTTTTAAAATCGAGTTGCCGCAGTAGCTCGTGGGGGCCGCTAGTCCGTATGGCAGCAATTACCGTACCCTTATTAGTACAGTAGGGGGGTACAGTATGTGAATACTTTTTTTTTTCAGCAGCACCGTGCCCTGTTGCCCTGGGAGACAAGCTGAATGTCTCGCGCTGGTTTGGCGACCCGTTGTCTTGCTGCACCAAGCGGATTGCACTCCGTCAACAGCGCCTTCGCGTCAACCATCCCGTTCCGCTGCAACACTACCGCTTGAAGCCGGTCAGCTTTCAGTCGCATCTCTCGTCAACGCCGAGTTGATGTCCACTGTTCGTCGTTTTTATCCTCATTGTTGCAGGGCGGACTCTACGTAAATTTCTTTACGTCAGCAATTGTCGTGCAAGTTTGCCACGGTGCTTTGGTGTGGTAAGTTGGCATGGTACGTTAGACGCCCCTTCTTTAGCCAAATTCGGGAGACGTATGGATGATGTCGCCAACTACTGTACCTTTCTCAAACCTGAAAAATTTCGTCATACTTTCGTGTCTCTTCAATAGCGTCCAGGATACCCAAAAACTCTCATAGCATTACTAAGTTTTTATACCGTGGGATGAACTCGCCAGTTTATTTAGTTCACCGGCAAAACGGAATAGAATGGAATATCTAGGGCGTTCATATCCTTGGGGTACCAGATGCGGATATTGTAGTGTAGTTTCTCTACGGTATAGTCATACACCGCACATCTTCATCCCTGCACGAACGGACTTTCCTCGGAGGAGTTCGCGTCTGCGAATCATGCCAAAGAGATCTGTAGTTGCGGTCCTCGGGGAGAACAGCTAGATGGCATACGAACCCTCACAAATCTAGACGTGTTTCGCTTTGAAAGATTAAAAATCTTCTAAAGATCGGGACAGAGATCCCTCCGCCCCGGATGAAAGATATCATAAAAAGGCACCTTTCAAGCACGTATCTCCTTTGCAATCCGTCACACTATTCTATTCCACATAGTTTGAACGAGTTCAGCTCCTTACACGCAGGATATAACGAGGGCAAAGAAGAAACTATCGAGGCAAAGAGCAGGTACTGGCAGTGCAAAACGTCATCAAACTGCTCTTGTTTAAGGATATTGCTCTGAATCTGAGCTGAAAAGCACCAGGCCTAAAACGTTTCGATTTGAACCAGGAGACCGCACTGCTGGCATTTCCCTGGTGTGGGCATCGGCACACGAGGAACAGTAGATTTCTACGGATGACTCCTCACAAGTCTCTCATAAACATGAAACGATTTTGCGAAAACCTTCATGCTGCGTATAAGTGTACACACACACAAGGAGCAGCTGCATTCGTCAAAACATGATTTAGGTATGTCCACCGTATAGCACAGGTCAATCACATCTTGTTGGACGGCAGGAGGTGGGAATCTAATGGAAAGTTTTTCCGATACTTGAAAGACTATGCACTTAAGCAAGTGAATGAGCAATAATGATAAGGCGCATTACGATGCAAGACCAGAGAGGAGGTGCCTATTATCAATGATCCTTTCGTGCTTGGGTATGACTCAGAATTCAAGATCTCAGCCAATTCGGGCTCATCGGTATTCTAATAGCGCTATTGAGAAAGAACTCCTGATACAGTAGGAACTAAAATCCGCAACCAAATGAAGATTAAGTACCCTTCTCACAGGCTCAATCTGTGACAAGGCTCAAATTGTGACACCAAAATTATAATGCCGCGCCGCATAGTTTCGCGCATGTGATTTTGCTAAACTATTTCGCAACGAATTAAATATATTCGTTTGATGAAACATATTCACATGCTCTTACAAACGGTCAGTTTCCTGCTCATGCCTTTTGCAGAGGTTTCCGTCGCTCTCAATAATGATTACGTGTTGCGCAACATTCTGAGAAAGAATATATGCCTGTCAAAGAACCCCACACCTAAGAAATCTAATAGAAAATTCCTCGCAACAGGAAACGCAGCGACGGTTGGCAATTTGCAGTCCGTTCGTGCTTGTTTGGAGGGGCGGAATCCTCCAAAAGCGCCCGTACCCAACGTTTATCACATTCAGGAGTTTAATGTAGAGAATGATACTGCAAACAAAAAAAATATTGACTCTCAGAAACGTCTGAAAGCGCAGTCTGCGGTGTCGCCTCTCGAAGACATAGTTTGCGACGACTTGCCAATTTCGCAATGGCCAAGAGCCCGAAAACAGCGGATGCAGGTTGAGGAAGGCGAGTTGTTGAGGACCCGCAAGCACACGGCAGCGTCGGCTTTGTTGGGTCTCTCCCATTACAGATGAAGCGTGCAAGACATGAAATTTCTCGTCGTCCCACTTTGACCCTGGCACACTTTGGAGACCAATTCTCCCGTCCAAATAAAGGCAATTTTCTTCGAATACGCACTGCATTCGCATATTTATCATAACTTCTTATGCGTCCCACATTGAGCCAGTGAGAAGGGTACTGCAAAACTTCAAACTTTCAATCAGAATTCAGAAAGCAATTGAGAATAAATGTCCGGCCCGCTGCAATGAAGCAAATCTCTTTCGAGCTAATAATTCGCGCGTTAAGGTGCTTGCATAGTATGATAGAGCCGTACATTGTCTTTATCTTGCCTTTGTTTGTGCGCCCGTTCTCAAATGCCCTGCATCTAATATCTGTACAGTGATACGCACTTTTTCCGTTTTCATAGAAATTATCGCCCTTAGCAGCGGGTGAGGCCCCCGCTGTTGTTCCCTACCATCTTCTTTCATATTCACATTCTTTTCCACCTTTTCCGTAATTAGTCTTTCCATTGCTCAGCGGCGTTTCCAGTCCATGTATTGCAATTCCATGGCAGCACATACGATGCTCGCCTCTGAGTTTAGATATGTTTCATACTACTTCTCTTGTGCTTGGGAACGGAGTTGCTCCTCACTGAATGGTTCATCAATATGCAAAAACTAGTTTCAGCCCGTTGATAAAAAAAGTCATAGATCACAAAAGAATGAACATGTTCCCGAATAGGGCTGACTGTAAATTTCCGAATAGGACTAGATCCCCTTAGTTACAGTTTCTCCTTGTGTCGACAAGGTATCATTTTAGTAGAGACGGTACAGTATTGACATTAAAAACAGTTTCACGTTACAGACCAGCGGACGTTGAGCCGAAAACCAAAAACGTCATACTTCGTCACATTCGTACGTCCAAACACTTTAGGATGTATGCGCGTCTATGTGAGACATGTTCTCTTCTTATTTTGTTTTTTATCCGCGGAGGCAGAGTGGGGCGTGAAGTCCTTTTGTTTTCCCGGTCTAGCTGGTTCTTTTACTTTCGATATGATTTCAGCTGACTTATATAGAGACAAAGAGACTACAGAATTAGTAACTGAATCAGTCCTCACTGCAGGGGCACTAACCATCTACAGATCAAGGCAATCACCCAGGGAAAGCTGCGCCACGTTGTAGGACAGCACGGATACACCTTGGCTGACGACTCGCTAACAGATCACTGCTGAATTACATCTCCTGCTCGTTTTGCTGGGCAAAAACAGTACTAATTCTATCACACACGTTCACTACACAATTGAACAGAGAAAATAAAGGCACGAGCCTGAGAGTCGCTCTATCTTGAAAAGCGATCTTGATTTTCACTATCTGTGAAGTGCATCGATATTTTGCCATCAGAAATATGAATCGGTGGGAGTTTAATCAGCACACTGCCGTATCTCGCTTCCGTATATAACTATTCGAAGCAAAAGTGGCGTCGTCTCTTCACAATTTCCTTTCCTGGAAAACGCAACATGCCTTTTTTTCATGTCCTAGTTGGTTTTCTCTGCCTCACTCTTGTGGGCGCTTGTTCCTACAGCCGTGATTGTGACGACTTTGATCCCTCAACGCCGGATGTCTGCATTGCCGACCAACACATCTGCATCAATATCGGAGGATATGGAGATGATTTCACGGAAGTAACAGCGAGTCGAAACCTGTCTCAGGTTGTTGCCGAAACCAATGCGTTGCCGCTTTCAGCAGAACAAAAGCGGCAAATTATATCAACTGTCATCCACGTCTACGGTAACCTTAACCCGCATCTGTTCCTGCACCGCAACGTGCTCGGAGTTGATATCATTTCAGAATTGCAAAAGCTTCGTAGAACAGTCGAGGGCAGCATGACCAATTTTGAGTTTCACCTGAGAATGATCCAGGTCTTCCAAATGATGAATGATGGACACTCAAAGTATGCCACTGCGCCCCTAAAATCTGTTTTCGCTTGGCTGGGCTTTTTCGTCAGAGAAGTTTATGAAGGAAACGTTGGTGGGACACGGCAGCCCAAATACATTGTATCAGATGTTATCAAAGAGGTGCTACCGGCGGGCGTCAAGATATCCCTCGGATCTGAAGTTGTATCTTACAATGGAGTCAGAATCCGTGAGGCAATCAATTCCTTGGGGAGGGGTGGTTATGGGTCAAATGGCGCTGCACGGCTACAAGACGGGATTTCGAAACTCACGTACAGAGACACGACTGGAGTTTACTTTCCGTTGAAAAAGCTTGTCACTATTGGTTTTCGTGACCACACCGGAAGTACTTCAGAAATGCAATTACCGTGGATGTACGAGGAGATTACCGATTTCAACTTGTTTAAAGTCTTAACGCGGACGGCAAGCGACAAGGCTTCGAACTCTTCCGACAAGTTTTCATTGTGGGGAGGCAAGAAATCTTCAAGAACACTGGGATTGTCCCCGAACCTTAGACAGGGACGCAGAGGGATTCAAGTACTAAATTTTTTACCGAGCATGCTAGGCGCGGAGGAGATACGAACGAAAAAAGGTCCGATTGGGAGGCTCCGCGTGTCGTCCTTCCAAGTACCGACGTTCGATTACTATCTCTTTGAGGATGAGATCAATCGACTACTCCGTCGCATGCCTAAGAACGGGCTAATCGTTGACCTGCGCGGAAACAGGGGGGGAAGCTTTGCTTTGGTGAAAGTGCTGGCAGAACTGGTGTCTCCGCGTCATGTACCAGTGCAGCGCTTCTCTGTTCGGGCTACGCCGCTGGCTTTGACTTTATTCAAAGACTTCGACTTATCCAGTGCCTCTTCTGCAATCAAGGCATTTATCCGTTCTGTAAGAGCCGCTTTATCCAGCGCACTCGCTGGGAAGGAACAGTTTACGGAACAGACAGGTTCCCTCTACGCTGAAGGTGAAGACCCAAACCGAAAGCCTGTATATTCCGGTCCAGTGATCACGTTAGTTGATGGTCTGACGTATAGCGCGGCGGAAGCGTACGCTGCGCTGCAGGTGGATCAGAATAGGTCTCTTCTCGTCGGGACCGGGAATAGTACTGGAGGCGGAGGTGCGCTTGTAATACAGTACTCTGGTCTGCGTCAATTCTTCTCACGTTCCGTGGGCAAGAAATTGCCAGGGCATGTGGACTTCACGACTCCTTATGCAAGATGGCACAGAAGCGGAGAACAGGCTGGAAAGTTGGTGGAAAAGGTTGGTGTCACACCGGATATTCGTTACTATTATACTCGAGGTGATGTCCTGAATGGCGATAGGGATTTGTATGAGTTTCTCGCAGCGCAGTTGAGGGAAATGGACAACGTTTAGTTGTCCAATTACGTGTTGAATATCTCTGTGTGAGAGAGGATTAGGCCTGCTTCGCTCCATTAGATAGATCCACAAAAGCCTGTCATGCTATGCACCATCATTCTTTATCGGAGATCAAATGCAACATGAAGGACTACAATTCATTGGAGTGCAGTGTGAGAGGCATATTTGGCTTTATACACCGTGCCCGTGTAGGGGTTGGACAGGATTCGATCTTTCGATGAGAAGGATGTTGCTTTGCTAGCGTTCGCAAATTGGATCGCGAGTCCATAAAAATTTGGAAAATTAGAAATTTTGACGACCCGACCAGCATGAACGTATTGGTTGAAAAAATTATTGGAAATGCTTTTATTCCCGTTCAACCAATCCATTCATGCCAAATGTCCGGGTGCTCGGGTGCTGGCACAACGAACTCTCCGTTAGGAACGGCCCTCAGTTCAGGACACCAGTCCAGAGTGCTGCAATCAAAAGCATAATCGCAAGGCCTCGAGTGCGACTACTTCGACGCTGAATCTCGAAACTACGCCACCTTCCCCGGCGCCTTCACCCTGAAGGCTTGAGGCAACCCATGACGCCGCAATCGCAAGAATGCCCCATACATCCTCCGCAACGAAGAGAGACATATCAAGATACAGCAGTGATTCCAGAAGAGCTCATCCGAAATAACGCCTTCCAACCTCTCGGTTTTCCGCGCCATCTACAACCGTTTTGCTTTCAATGCGATGCCTCAGCTTTATATCGCTGTCAAAGCCATCACTGCACTTTTTGCATGGCCAAGTGCACGCAAGATGGAATCAAATCTGAATGAAATATGTTTTTGACGTAGGACTGTTGTGCATGTATATCATGTCTCTGATGCTGTTTCTCCTCAATTCTCATTGTCGTTAGGCGAAATAGCTGCACACAACGGATGTTTGTCTTGGGCTTATGTATGCTGTCCAGTACGGTCGCTCCGGGATACCTACGTCCGTCATTGCATTGCTGACTCTCATGTGAATCTCACTGTCAGTATGAGTAAGACTGTTCACCATTGTTATTCAAATGCGGGGTGCTCGCCTGTGGAAAAGGCCTTTGGGGGAAACGCTGGCGCCGCGACTGAAGTTCAGGACATTGTGTCGCAGTGAGGGCGAAGACGCCATCGTTGATGGACTAAGAAGCAGCTCTTTACAGAAGCAGGTGTTGGACATGGCACATCTCCGGTTAATGACGTTTGGGTGAGATGAAAAAGGGAGAAATGGAGAATTCACCATGAGGTCAGTTGTGGCCGGTGAGGGAGTCATCTGCAACTGCCAGCAGTGTTGAGATGGAAGAGTTTGTCCTTCAGAAACCTTGTGTACATTTTTAATAATGGGACTGGAGGCCAGAGGCGACGCAGCCGGAGACACCGCATCGTCAGCATGGACATGAGTTTTACCTTCTCCTACTCATGTCCCATGAGAGGCAGGGCGTGGAAAAAAAGAGAAGGCGACTCGGCTGGATCACTGTTGGTGAGAAGCAGCGCCCTAACGCCCATGTTTATCCAACAAGTGTTGTTGAAGTGCAAAGCCGTCTGCCAGGACTCTGGGGCAGAGTTTGCAGTTGTATGTTTCCTTCGGCATGGCACGCACGGGAGTGTTTTCCTCCTCGTTTGGCGCTGGATCGAGGTGCATATCCTTAAAATGCGAGGCAACAGTGACAAAGCCATCATCGAAGTCAATCTCGCAAGTCACACACCTTGAGAACTTATCAATATGCGGCTCACCGCCCGCCGCACCCTTCGCCAAATCCTGTGCTCTTTGATTCCATTCATCGATCGCCGCCACCTCTCCGACATGCTCAAACTCA